TCCCTCCGCGGCACCCCCGGCCCGCCCCGCGCCCCGGCCTGCCCGCCCCACTAACTTGGCGGCGGCGGAGAAGCCTCGCGCGTGCGACTTCGGCGACGTTAGGGACGGAAAGGAAGGCGCCGGTGCGGGGGGCGGGAGTAATTCGCTACCCAGAAGCCTCCGGAACCTGCGCGCAGCGCCCCTTGAGGGCGCCTCCTAGTGATGTCAGACGGTGCCTAGCCCAGGAGGACGCAGGTGACGCCATTATCCCGTCTTGTCCCGCAGCCACCACCGCAAAGGCTAAAGGCAGTTCTGGGCCGCCTTCTTGTATACAGTGGGGTGAGTGCCCCTAGAGATCCCTGGGGGAAGCAGGGCAGAGCGAGACGCGAGTCCGAAGTGCAGCGTTTTTCCGTTTAGGGCTCCCAGGATGCCACGCGGCGCCTACAGCTCCCACCATGCAGCGCAGCCTTCACGCCCAGGACGCATCTCTGCGGGAGAGGCTGACGCGGCCGGCAAACTACAAGTCCCATGGTGCATGGCTACCGGAAGCGCGGGTACGCTGCTGCCTGCGAGGGCCGCACGTGGCCCGGGCGCTATTGCAGTGGTCCAGCCCGCTGCGCTTCCGGGTCTCAGGTGGTTCCTAGCCGCGGGAACAGGAGTTCGCTGTCCGGCCCCCCCAGTGGGGTGGGCGAGCTGCTCCGCGCGCTCACACCGCCGAACCGAGCCGCTGCTTCCCCCCAGCGCCTTGGTGGGAGCTCCGGCCGAAGCTGGGAGGCCTTGTCACCGCCGCCCCGAGGAGCGGAGCCAGGAGTGCCGAAGCCCGTGTGACTCCACCCCCACCCCCTGCCCTGGCCTTGTCGGCTCGGGACAGATCTCAGGGTCCACACGGACGTAGCACACGTCACTCATTCACTCTCCGTGTCAGGAACCCTGCTGCAGGCTGGCGTCAGTCCTGAGAGGGAACAGGCCCGGTTCTGCCTCCGTAGAACTCAGGTTCTAGTGCGCGGACACACAAAGTAAATAAACGAGGCAGTCCCAGGCTGACACTGCCACGGGGCTGAAGGATGAGAAGGAGCTGGCCCTTCGAAGTTGTGGGGCGAGCATCAGGCCCCAGGGGTCAGATGCAAAGGCCCAACTAAGGTGGCCGGAGATGGGTTCAGAGGCAGCAGCCAGCCCATGCGGGCTCTGACAACAGGTGACCCCACGTGTTAGCACCAAGCACTGGTTTGTTAACGGCAAGCCACACGGTACCCTTATCGTATAGATGAAGTCGGGCGTAGAAAGGTTTTCTTGCTTAGGGTCACACAGCTGCGGTAAAGTGGGGAAACCATTTGGGAAGGATGGGACTTCACTGCAATCACACAAGAAAGTGTGATTGTTTTTATTTAAATTTTTAAATGGTAAAATAATACATAACGTAAAACTTACCATTTTAACCATGCAATTTAGGGGCACTAGGTGTATTGACATTGTTGTGCAATCATCACCCCCATCTAGCTCCAGAACTTCTCAAACAACTCCATACACATTAAACAGTAGCTCTCCATTCCTCTCCCCCAGCCCCTGCCCCCCCCCCATTTTACATTCCGTTTCTATGTATTTGACTGCTCTAGGGACTTTACAGAAGTGGAGTCATATAGCATTTGTCCTTTTGTGTCTGGCTTGTTTCTTTAGAGTAATGCTCTCAAGGTTCATCCACATTATAGCATGTGTCAGGATTTCATTTCTTTTTAAGACTGAATAATGTTCCTGTGATTGGTTTTTTGTTTGTTTGTTTTAAATTCTTCTGGCAGCTATGTGGAAACTGAAGGGGGGATAGGAGCTGGGGAGAATGGAGGCCTGGTGGGAACTGCCCATCCGGGTAGGAGGGATGGCGGTAGCTGGCGAGGGTGGAGGAAAGAGGGTGCACAGGGTATCATGTGGGGCAGAACAGGCAGAAGCAGATGCGTTCATGTGTCCGTTTATAGGCACCGACTGTGCGGGGTGAGGAAGCAGGAGTGGGGAAGGTTCTCTTGAGAGTCAGACAGACCTGGTTTGAGGTCCTTGGCTTTGGCACTCACCAGCTAGTGGCCTTGGGCAACATCTGATCTCTCGGAGCCGCCTTTTCGTTCCTTGTGAGATGCGGAAAGATAGGAGGCAGCATGTGAGGAAGTCCACTGCTGGGGGCATGTGACCCACAGTGATCACCGTAAAAGGAGGGCCATTGGAGCTGGGCCCCAGGCTCTGCAGGGCTTGAGAGGAGGCCTTTGGGGCTGGCTGGGGACATTCTTAGAGCTGTCCTCTGGCAGGAGTTGGTGTGGGGCAGCAGCTTTGATCAGCACCCGTTACCCCCTGCAGCCAGAGATCGCACTAGCTCATTTCAGCATGGGGCCGGGAATGGCACAGCCCTAGAGCTGAGCGGGCCCAGGGCCCAAGAGAACCTCTGAAAGGTTGGGTTTGGTGGCGCGCAACGCGGGCCCTCCCGCGGAAGGCTGGACGGCAGAGGCACGCAGGCCTACAGGAAGCTGAGTGCAGCAGGGCGGCGACCGGCGGAGGGCGGGCGGGCGGGGCGGGAGGGACACTGAGATCCCGGCCTGCGGACCCTCGCCGGACATGAGGCGAGCTTCCGATGCGGCGGGACCCGGAAACGCGCCGCCGGGAGCGCAGGTGACGCGCGGGCCGCGGGCGCGCCGTGGGGAGGGCGGCTCGGGGAGGGCGCGCTCTCCCGCCCGGGACCCTACCCGAGCAGTGGGGCCCGCGACTGCGCGGTGCACCGACCTCCTCCGCGGACCGAGGTGCGAGCTGGAAGTGGCGGGGAGCCCACCTCCAGGCGCCAGGAAGTGGGGTCCGGTCCTTAGGAACCCCCTCACACTCACTGCTCTGACATACGCGGGCACGATCACCCGGCCCTTGCCTGGAACACCGGCCCCACGTGGTAGATGAGAGCCGGGATCTCTGGTCAAAGCCAGCCGAGGAATGTGAAGGTTGGATGTGGGGCTGGACCCAGAGGGGGTGGGGGGTGGAATAGGACCTGACACCTCTAGGAGTCCCTTGTGAAGTTTCCAGATTTGGGACGTGAAGCCTCACTTTTCCCCTCTCCCTCAAGCACGTCCCCAGGCCCCTCTGCACACAGAGATCTCCCTGCCTGCTGCCTTTCCAGCCTTGGGGAGTCCTATTCACCGGCCCCATTTCAGCGATTATCTGTCCAGCAGCCTAGGCTTTGGGCTCTGGACCAGCTGGCCTGGCTCAAGAGCTCTCCCCAGCCAGAGTCCCCCTTCCTCTGGCTAGAGGACGCCCAGCCCCCTCCTACCCGCTCCTCCCCCTGACTGCAGCCTCCCTGGGCCCTGCCTGAGCAGGCCTGCCTGGCGAGCTGGGACATGTCCGGCCCCCGAGGACAGCCGGTGGGCGATGGCTGCGGTGGCAGAGGGGCTGGAGCCCGAGACAGCAGCTTTAGAAGATACTGCAAGAGATGCTACAGATGCTGTGGACGCAAGGCTGGGGGTGCCCCCTCTCCTGGCTGGGAACCGGCTGAGCCTGGACCTGTACCCCAGGGGCTGCCACCGGCTGCTGCACCTGTGTGCCCAGCAGGTCCGTCAGTTGCTGGAGGTGGAGTTCCTGCAGCTGAGTGGCCACGAGGACCCTCAGCTGCTGCAGGCCACCCTGGCCCATCTGCCCTGGAGCCTGCCACGCCTCCGCTCCCTGGTCCTCAAAGGTGAGCCCCACCTGGTCCCAGCCTCATCGCTGGCTCCTGCCTCTGCTTCTTGGTCCTGAAAGGCAAACCCTGGTCCCAGCCTCATCGCTGTTCTCTGCACAGCGCTACCCGACCCCTTTTACCCCAAGAGGAAGCTGGCTGAGCCTGGGCTCCTGGACCTGGCAGTTGCCAGTGGGGTCTCCAGCAGACCCCAGTGTGGGTATTTCTCCTGGGGTGGGTCACGGGTGGTGACTGTCAGCTGAGACGAGCCTGCGTTGTCTGTCGCTGCCTCTTTCATTTGCTGGTGACTCTCCAGTATCTGTGTCCATCTCTCGCTGTCTGAGTGGGGTTGGGGTGGAGGTCTGTGTTTCCGTGCACCTATTTCCCGGGCTGGCAGGGCTGAGCTGGGACCTGGGACTCTGGCTCTGAGAGCCATATCTGCCTTTCCCCCACCCAGGTGGGCAACATCGGGACGCTCTGGGTGCCTGCCTCCGGGGCTCCCTCGCCACGCTGCCCGCCAGCCTGAGTGGCCTGGCCCACTTGGCCCACCTGGACCTGAGCTTCAACAGCCTGGAGACGTTGCCAGCCTGTGTCCCGCAGTTGTGTGGCCTGGATGCCCTCCTGCTCTCTCATAACTGCCTCTCAGAGCTGCCTGAGGCCCTGGGGGCCCTCCCCGCCCTCACCTTCCTCGCTGCCACCCACAACCGCCTGCAAACGCTGCCCACAGCACTGGGGTCCTTGTCCAGCCTGCAGCGCCTCGATCTCTCTGAGAACCTGCTGGATGCTCTGCCCCCTGAGATCGGAGGCCTGAGTAGCCTGGCCGAGCTCAACCTCGCCTCCAACCGGCTGCAGGGCCTCCCTGCTTCCCTTGGTGAGTCGCAGCCTTGGCTCCCTGGGCCTGATGGGCCTGATGGCCTGTCGGCCACTGCCCAGCCTGCCCTATCCCACAGCCCTCTCTCCTCCGCAGGGCCTCGCGCGCACAGGCTGGCCCACCTTGAGCCTTCGCCCTCCTCGGCAGCCCTTGCTTGCCCCCCACTTCCCTGGCTGTTGAGGCTCCCTGCGCAGGCCTGCCCGAGCTCTCCCGTTCAGCCAAAGGGCAGAGACTGAAAGGGCTTCTCTGGGAGGCCCCAGCACGAGCGGCCTGGCCTGGCGCTGCAGGGCTGGGGTGGCCCTGTGCGGCCTCCGCGGGCCCTAAGCTGGCGCCCCTGCAGCGGGCCTGCAGTCCCTACGGTTCCTCGTTCTGCACAGCAACCTTCTGGCTTCGGTACCTGCTGGCCTGGCCCACCTCCCGCTGCTCGCCCGGCTCGACCTGAGGGACAATCAGCTCCGAGACGTGCCCCCCGAGCTACTGGATGCCCCCTTCGTGCGCCTGCAAGGAAACCCCCTGGGTGGGCCTAGCCCCGACCCCCACATTCCTCCAGGTAGGCTCGCTGGTGGGGACGGGGGCAGACCACAGACAGGACGCAGGTGTCATCACCATCCTAACAGCCCATCTGTCCTTCCACAGGGATACCCGTGGTCCCAGAAATGCCCAGACTGTTGCTGACTTCAGATCTGGACAGGTATGGTGTGGAGGAGGGGCCGGGCTGCAAAAGCGTCTGTCCACCCTGTCACCCTGTCCGCTCTGTCCGCCTGCCCGTGCCTTGGGGGTCTCCTAGAGTTGCCCAGGGTGCCATACTCAGACGTGGGGCCCTGCTGCGTCTGACCCGACGTCCACCCTGTCTTCCCTCAGCTTTGCCGTGACCCCCCTAGGCTGCTCTGTGACCCTGGCCTGCGGTGTCCGCCTGCAGTTCCCTGTGGGAGCCACTGCTACCCCTGTTACCATCCGCTATCGACTGTGGCTGCCAGAGCCCCGCCTCGCCCCTCTGGGTCCCCACGACTCTCTGCTCAGTGGTGTCCTGGAGCTGCAGCCCCATGGAGTGGCCTTCCAGAAGGTATGGCCAGGGCGGGTCGGGGCAGGTGAGGAGGCCCGCCATGGCCCTGGCACTCACAGCACCCTTGCCTGGCAGGAGGTGGGCCTGTGGCTGCTCTTTGTGCCCCCACGGGCACGGCGTTGCCGTGAGGTGGTGGTCAGGACCCTGAGTGACAATAGCTGGTGTGACCTGGAGACCCACCTGGAGGAAGAGGCGCCCAAGGTGAGGGCTGTCCAGGCCCATCTGGGAAGGGGGCATCTCTGCCTTTGCCCAACTGTCCCCGACCCTGTCCCTCTGTCCACCCCCCATGCCCGGCGAAGCCCCTGACCCTGTCCCTCTGCCCCCCACACGCCCAGCGGCTCTGGGCTCACTGCCAGGTGCCTCACTTCTCCTGGTTCCTCGTGGTTTCACGCCCTGTGTCTGACGCCTGCCTGGTGCCACCAGAGGGGACATTGCTGTGCTCCTCAGGACATCCTGGGGTCAAGGTCACATTCCCCCCTGGGGCCACTGAGGAGCCCCGTCATGCCCGTATGCAGGTACGGGCAGGGCAGCTGCCATGGGTGGCGGGTGGTGCCTGGGCACAGAGGTGATCGCTCGGGTGCCCTCTGCTCCAGGTGGTGCGCGTGGGCAGCAGAGAACTGCCGGCCCTGCTGGGAGAGCCTGAGGCGGCCGCCAGCCCCCTGCTCTGCCTCTCCCAGAGCGGCCCCCCAAGCTTCCTTCGGCCAGTCACCGTGCAACTGCCTCTGCCCCCTGGCGTCACAGGTGAGAGGCGGCTGTGTGGCCTCCTGGGCTTGTAGCCATGGGGTGGGGGGGGGACAGTGCTCAGAAGGGGGGCCCCGGGCAGGGAGGCCTCAGCCTGTGGCCCCCTGCCACCCACAGGCCTGAGTCTGGACCGCTCACACCTGCACCTGCTGTACCGGGCCCCTCCCGCGGCCACCTGGGACGACATCACGGCGCAGGTGGCGCTGGAGCTCACCCACCTGTACGCTCGCTTCCAGGTCACACGCTTCTCCTGGTCAGTGCCCCCTCCCTCCGCCTCTTCGGTCCCCCACCCCTGCCCCGGCCTGCGCACCCCGCTCACCCCCAGCCTTCCCAGGTACTGGCTCTGGTACACCACCAAGACTTGCGTGGGGGGCCTGGCGCGGAAGGCCTGGGAGCGGCTGCGGCTGCACCGCGTGAGCCTCATCGCGCTGCAGAGGCGCCGGGACCCCGAGCAGGTCCTGCTGCAGTGCCTGCCCCGCAACAAGGTGGGGGCGGGGGCAGAGGGCTGGGCGGGCGGGGTGGGGGCCGGGGGGCCAGGTCAGGGCATTGGGCTCCCAGCCAGTGGGTCGCCCCCACAGGTGGACAGCACCCTGCGGCGGCTGCTGGAGCGCTACCGTGGCCCGGAGCCCTCAGACACCGTGGAGATGTTTGAGGGTGAGAAATTCTTCGCTGCCTTCGAGAGGGGCATCAACGTGGATGCCGGTAGGCCCCCTGCACCCAGAAAAGGGACCCTGGGGTCTGCCCCCACAGTCCTTGCTGAGCCCACGCCCTCCCCTCAGACCGTCCTGACTGTGTGGAGGGCAGGGTGTGCTTCGTGTTCTACTCACACCTCAAGAACCTGAAGGAGGTGTACGTGACCACAACGCTGGACCGGCGGGCTCAGGCCGTGAGGGGCCAGGTGGGCCAACGGGGTAGGGTCCCCCGGGCTGCCTGGGCCGAGGCCAGAGCCCTGAAGCCGACCTCATCCCACCCACAGGTGTCCTTCTACCGAGGAGAGGTGCCAGAGGAGGTGCCTGAGGAGGCGGAGGCTGCTCGGCAGAAGAGGGGTGCAGATGCCCCATGGATGGCCACTCTGCCCCTCAAGCTGCCGGTGCGGCCTGGCGGGGGGAGCCTGTGTGAAGGGGGAAGGGGGTGGCCGGGGGTATGGGCTGGAGCCGGGGGCGGGGCCAGGGCTCACTACCACTGCGTCCTCCCCACAGAGACTGCGGGGATCCAAGGGCCCAGGGCAGGAGGCTGGCCTCTCCCTGGCACCTCTGAACCTGGGCGACGCCGAGACTGGGTTCCTGACACAGAGCAACCTGCTAAATGTGGCCGGGCGCCTGGGCCCTGACTGGCCAGCCGTGGCCCTGCACCTGGGTTTGCCCTACCGTGAGCTGCAGCGCATCCGGCATGAGTTCCGGTGAGTTCTTTTGAGCCTCCCTTCCCGCTGCTGGCCTGCCTACTGGAGGCTGGCTGAATTTCTGTCCAGGGGAGGTGGGGGCAGGGCAAACAGTCAGGAAAGGGAGGGTCTGACCGCCCCTGGCCCAGGGAGGAAGGAACCCATCTTGGGAGGGTGGTCCTGGGCCGGCCCGTCCCTCACCGTTCCCCTGTCCCCCCAGGGACGACCTGGATGGGCAGATCCGCCATATGCTCTTCTCCTGGGCTGAGCGCCAGGCCGGGCAGCCAGGGGCTGTGGGGCTTCTCGTGGAGGCCCTGGAGCAGAGTGACCGGCGGGACGTGGCCGAAGAGGTGCGGGCTGTCTTGGAGCTTGGCCGCCGCAAGTACCAGGAGGGCATCCAGCGCACAAGTCTGGCCCCCGGGGACCTCGGCCCACCTGGTTCTTCAGCATCACAATCCCCCGAGCCTGCCCAGACCTAGAACCTACCGACTTTGGGCGGTCCCTGACATCCTCTGGCCAATGGTTAGAGGCTCCCACTTTCAAACCTTCCCTGGGTATGGGGCCAGTGACCCTCTCCTCCTTGTGTAACAAATGTGCACCATCCTGGCTGCTGTCTCAGAGCTCAGTTTATTTGCTGGGTGGAGAGGCAGGTGGAAGGCACGGGGAGGCCAGATCAGAGACCTGGCCCCTGCTGCGAGGGGGCCTGTGCACAGGCTTCCCCACCGCCCTTGCTCCTGCCTGTCTCCGGCCCAGCGCCTCCTCTTGGTCCTGATCTCTGGGAGACAGGGGGCCCCAGCTACAAAGTAAGGGCCGCAGCCCCGATGGATACAAAGTCACCCTGTGCGGGATTGCACATCTGCCCTTTGGTGGCGGTGAGGGGCGGGGGCTTGGCGAGTTCAGTCCCCTCCCAGCACCGCTCCTCCCCTAGGATACCTCGTCCCAGCGCACCTCGCCATCCGCTGGCCCGACGGGAGTAGTCCCTGGTCACCGGCCCATGCACAGGCGCGAAGCCGGACACGCAGGGAAGACCCTTGGGGACCTAGGGTGAGGGCTTGGCCCTGGGCTGTGGCCCGCCGGGCGCAGTGGCCGCGGCGGCCAGGAGAGGGAGCCGGAGGCCGCGAGCGGGCTGAGGACCGGGGGCGGAGCGCGCGCGGCGCCGAGCGGACGCGCCCCCGCGTTTAGGTGAAGCCGGGCGCGCGGCGCGGCGGGGAGGCGAGAGCGGCGGCGGCGGCAGAGCGCGCGGTGAGTGCCC